AATCCAGAAATGGGCGGAAGACCTAAATAGATGTTTCTCCAAAGAAGACATACAGATGGCCAAGGAGCACATGAAAAGCTGCTCAGCATCACTAATTATTAGAGAAATGCAAATCAAAACTACAATGAGGTATCACCTCACACCTGTTAGAATGGGCATCATCAGAAAATCTACAAACAACAAATGCTGGAGAGGGTGTGGAGAAAAGGGAACCCTCTTGCACTGTTGGTGGGAATGTAAATTGATACAGCCACTATGGAGGTTCCTTAAAAAACTAAAAGTAGAATTACCATATGATCCAGCAATCCCACTACTGGGCATATACCCAGAGAAAATCGTAATTCAAAAAGACACATGCACCCCAATGTTCATTGCAGCACTATTTACAATAGCCAGGTCATGGAAGCAACCTAAATGCCCATCAACAGACGAATGGATGAAGAAGGTTTGGTACATATATACAATGGAATATTACTCAGCCATAAAAAGGAACGAAATTTGGTCATTTGTTGAGACGTGGATGGATCTAGAGATTGTCATACAGAGTAAAGTAAGTCAGAAAGAGAAAAACAAATATCGTATATTAACACATGTATGTGGAACCTAGAACCGTGGTACAGATGAACCGGTTTGCAGGGCAGAAGTTGAGACGCAGATGTAGAGAACAAACTATGGACATCAAGGGGGGAAAGCTGTGGGGTGGTGGGGATGGTGGTGTGATGAATTGGGCGATTGGGATTGACATGTATACACTGATGTGGATAAAACTGATCACTAATAAGAACCTGCTGTATAAAAAAATAAATTAAATTCAAAAAAAAAAAAAGACACATGAACCCCAGTGTTCATTGCAGCACTATTTACAATAGCCAAGACATGGAAGCAACCTAAATGCCCATCGAGAGATAAATGGGTAAAGAAGATGTGGTACATATATACAATGGAATATTACTCAACCATAAAAAGAAACAAAATTGGGTCATTTGTAGAGATGTGGATGAATCCAGAGACTCATACAGAGTGAAGCAAGTCAGAAAGTGAAAAACAAATATCGTATATTAACGCATGTATGTGGAACCTAGAAAAACGGTACAGATGAACCGGTTTGCAGGGCAGAATTTGAGACACAGATGTAGAGAACAAACGTATGGACACCAAGGGGGGAAAGTGGCGGCGGGGCTAGTGGTGTGATGAATTGGGAGATTGGGATTGACATGTGTACGCTAATATGTATAAAATGGATAACTAATAAGAACCTGCTGTATAAAAAAAATAAAGAGATTAGGAGTCTGTACATGTGGGGGGCAGGAAATATATGGGAAATCTCTGTACCTTCTCCTCAATTTTTCTGTGAACCTAAAACTGCTCTAAAAAATCAAGTCTACTAAAACAAAAATGAAGCATTTAAACTCACATCTAAACAGTGCTTTACAAAAATTATTGAGCACTTCCTGAATATAAAACAGCTAAACCTGTTGCTGTTTTGTAGCTTTATGTGATTTTGATGGGATTTGGTTGTGAAATTAAGATGTGAGAATCTCGCTGATCTGTATCAAGTATTACCTTGCCATTTGAGAATAAAACAATTTATAACCTCCCCCAGGAAGGCATGCTAATTTTTAACATGTGTTTCTCTTTTTATGTACTAATGAAAAGATCTTTCACACTTTAAGGTTGGTGTAAAAAGTAAATAAATAAAAGCACATATGAGCCCCTGACCCCACTGTGGATTTAGTCAAGATGTAAAAACAATATTGATTGTGGAGTTTGGAAAACAGGATTATTGGTTTCATGGCGGTACTGAAATCTGGAGTATGTGGAAGATTCCAGCTAATCAACTGGAACAACAATCGTTGTCTGTCATGTAATCCTTGTCAGCACTTTAAAGATAGAAAAAAATAGAAACATGGATCCATGGTTCTTTATATCATGCCTAACTGTTAAAAAAGAAACAAAAAACAGAACAACTCTTCATAAGTCATAAAGGTTCAGGATGAATCTGGATATTGTTCTGTGTACCTGACCGTGTGATCCTCACGTGTCTTGGAATGAGGTGGATGAAGTATGTGTGTATAGATAATCAAATTATGTATGCATATTTTTGTGTCTTATAAGTGAAGAAACTGGTTAAGGTAATTCTCCAAGGTCGTACAACTTAAAGAGTCCCCTCCTCCCAGATCTGACTCGGAACTGGTATGTTTCTGTTCAGTTTAACTGACATTTTCTTCTTTACTATGTGCTGAACACTATGTTGGGCACTGCAGATATGAAAGTGAGTAAGACAGAGTTGTCATCCTGAAGGAAGTTGTAGTATAGCAGGAAATACAATTTTAATACAGTGATAAGTTTTCTGATAGAACTGATACTCTGTCTTGTGCCAAGGTAAGGGAGAGCTTTTAGCTTACTCTGGAAGTCTAGGAAAATCTTCTCAGAAGTGAACCCCTCACTTGAAAGATGAATAAATAGTGTAACTCATAAAAGAGGTATATCCTACTTTTCTCTGAGTCCTCTGCAGTAGTGATCTGCTTTATAGAATGCCACATTATAGTTATCAATGTCTAGGTGTATTGATATTTAAGGGTGGCAATACATAGTAGAAAATATACTCTGGTTATTTCATAGAAGTGTCTTGAGTAAATTCCTTCCTTTTCCCCCAACTTCACCACCACTACCAAGAATGGGTGGCGAAATTTCCATGGTATAGGATCACACCTGTTTCTTCCAGGCCCTCCAGAAAGAAACAGTTTGTCAGGGGAACTCGTAAAGGGCTTCTTGGACCAGATCTCTTTAAGAAGAAAATTAAGTGCCCCTAGGGGAAGTATCTTGGAAAATTTTAAACTGCCTCTGTAAACTTTGACTTTGAAGGATAGCTCTTGACAGTGCTTGCTGTGGGTAAATCCTGACTGCCTCCTCTGACATTAGCTGTGGTGATCCGCCTGCCTTTTCTTTAGCACTATTGGTCAGGCACACGTTCCTCTGTTCCTCTAGCCTCCTGACTGACTTCCAGCTCCCAACTTTCCCTGACCTGCTTGCCTGGTTCTTTTCCAGACACCTGACCTGCCGTAACCTCAGATTCAAGCTCTGACCTGCTAACCTGGACAGTACACGCCCAGCCTGCTGGCTGACAGACACAGTCAGCCTGTCCCCCAACCCTGCCCTGGGCCAGAGTGTCTGACTGCTGGGCAGCAGTGACTCGCTCCACCTTCTCCCCACTACACATATAGGCGGGGCACACCAACATCTCATGAGAACGGTCACAGCCAAGGCTAGAAAGGGAAGGAAGAAGGAAAACCTGTTAGGGAAGGTCTGGGGCGGGGGAGGAATCTAGTAAGTGTAAAGACAACCCTCAAAAGTTGTCAGTCAGTAAATAGTTGAGTGCTTCTGTGTGTCAGGCATGTGCTGGGTTATAGGAGTATAAGATGAATAAGGAGGATATTTGGGATTATAAAAAACTATTGATATGAAACACTTTTACAGCATGTTTTTATCACCCTGTTATCATACTTGTCACATAGTTTTTATGCTACGTAAGGAAGTTTTTTGTAACTAAACTCTTACTTTTTGTGGCTAAACTCTTAGTATTATCCTAAGTTAGCTTCCAAGGTTATTGTACCCCAAATACCATTTGTAGTTTAAAGTTGAATTATACTTATTTGACCTGCGAATTTAGGGATTTCAGGCAATGTAAGTTCTAATGTAAAATCTTACATGTGATTGTATTGAAACAGAAGGAATGATTTCCTGTTCTTGGCAAATGCTGTCATATTCTGGAAGCAAGACTGTCAGGAAAATGATGAAGTTTGCCAAATGTTATGTTCAGTTTGTGAAAAGAGACTGTGAGGCATTTTGTGAGCCTTCACCTTTAGTGTCATCTGGCCATTTGGAAGCATTGGTCAGGGATGGGTGGCAAAGTCAAAAACTTTTAAAGGCCAAGCAGGTAAATGCACTGGGGTAGGGGTGGAGCAGTGAATACAGATGAGATAGTTAAAATAATATTATCAGATATCATTGTAAAACTGCAACAACAGTGCAGTCCTGGCCAAATAGGAGGATAGCAGCATTTACCTGTCGTGCTCAACTTCTGGGCGCCATTTATCCTGGGAACCAGGCTACGCTCTTAGGGGCAATTGATTGGGAGAACTGATATACTCTTATATACAATAAGGCAACAGAAAATGGTGCCATTTCCAAGGATTCACCAAAATGCAGTCAATACTTTGTGAAATGCTACTTGTTTCCTTTTCTTCAGAATTAGAAAAGCCAATGCACATTCAATACTTATTCCAAAAAATTAAATAGGTATGGTTGTAGATCATTCATTTATAGAGTTTAAACATGTTTTGAGTGACAACACACACACACACCCCAACATAGCAACAAAAGACCCAGGCTATTAATTTCTCATATTACCTGAAGAGAAAGTTTGAATTAACCACATAAAATGTCCATTCAGTAGTTGTAGTCTTGAAGATAGGTTCTGCAGCAAATCAAATCGACACTCGGCAAACACTGTGAACAACTCTGAGCTCTCACTGAGTGTGCATGACATATAATATACTACTGGGAAAAATCTCTACAGTTTGTTTAAAATATAATTGGTGATACACTGTTTGATTCAGAATCAGATATGAATCAGAATCAGATAGGATAAGGTATAAAGAAAACAGAAAAACTCATTGTAGCAGCTGGAAGAGCCTGGAAAAATTAACTCCTCTAAGGAGGAGAATTATTTCCTGACTATAGAGGTTTTCTTATTTAGCTAGTATTATTTCTTTTATCTGTTAGACAAATTATATATGTATTCAATTTCAAATTTAGGCATTGAATTGAGCACTTTTTTTTTCTTTAAGACTATCAGATGTTTGCCAGGAAAGGCTAATTGTGTGTTATCCATCAATATAAACAATAAAAAAATTCGGCCAAAAATCAAAGTTATGGCACAACCTATGCACAGTGGTTTTTAATTGTATTGTCTTGATTTTTTCACAATTCTGTGCCAGGGTCTAATGGCTATTGATTGTCCTCATACTGGCATTGTGGACTATCAGCAGGTGGCTTTGTCATTTGCCCAGGATTTCCAAGAAGCAGGTGGCTCTGTTTTGACCAGTTTTGAAGTAGAAGATATTGAAATGGCTAAAGAAAGTCCTTCAAGAAGTAAAGATGGTGAGCAATCCTTGTCTTTTCTTTTGAATACTGAATTGACTTCTAATCAAACTTGGGACTGTTTTTGGCTAGGGTAGCGCTGGCAGGAGGGCCACCAGAAGCTAGGCTACAGTAGGGCCCAGAGCTGGAGGCAGGTACAGAAGGGGTGAGGGTGAGACCGGATACGGGAGAACTGGGACTTCTAGTGAGTCTTGTGCTGATAGAACTAGGCACTGATGGGACACTTCTGACTAGTGCTAAATCCCGAACTGCCAAGGCTGTTTATGGAAAGTTAGCCTACAAACACTTCCCTATCCAGTAGGTTAGTCAGAATCCCCTGGGAGTGCTTGTTAAAAATGCAGATTTTAGCATCACCCAGTCTTACTGAATCAGACTGTCTGGGGATAGGACATGACTCAGCCATTCTGAATTCCCCCTCCACCCCGCCCCCCCGCCCCAGTTCCTTCATTGTAGCCTGTACTTAGAGTTTGTTTTGTTTTGCTTTGGGGACAATTTTTTTTTAAACCAAATGAATTAGCTTTTAAGCCTTAAATTCATTGTTGGGAAATTTGAAGGAGAAAAAAAGTAGTGTTCAGTTCATTCTTTCTTGACAGGTTTTTAAGGAGATCTGGGCTATCTGAGTCATTCTCCCAGTGTCCTTTTAAATTCTAAGATGATGAGCAAAATTGTTAGATAATTGAGATTGTTAGATAGGTAGCATAATCAATCAAATCTATGATATAAGTAAGTAGATCATATTTTTTTTACCTGCTGTACCTATGCTTTATAGGTCTTTGAGATCACATGTATCTGATTGGGAACTAATTTTATAAATAGTTTATCATTGGAAATTCTGTGTTGTGATAACTCTTGCTTCTCTATACAACTTAGAATCCGCAAGGATTCAGATAACCAAGACTTGAACAACAAGTGTCATAGCATTAGTTCTGTGAGAAAATGCATACTGATTTATGATGATCCATTTTATAGCCTGTTTTCTAGGATTGCAGTTCACAGAAAAGCTGGGACTGTCTATTTTGGAGCTGGGGTGGGGAATGGTTTATAAGTATAGATTAAATGAATTAAAATAAAATATGCTAAAAACATGCCAGAGTTTTGTATATTGTCAAATATGAACTAGTTTAATCTTGTTACTTGGTAAAAAACTTTAGAATGAAAAGTAGGAGGCAATAATGGTTATGACAGAAACAATCCTTTAAATTATTACTAGAATAATGTTTATTTAATGTAGGCTTTCTTTTGCTAAAAATAAATCTTTCACTAATTTTTTTTCAGGGATGAAATACCCAATTGTTATAAGGAATACAAAGGTAAAGATTCTTAAGCAAAACTACTTTCATCTACTTTATCTACTGTCATCTCCTTTCTTAAAAAGTTGAATTAACCACAGTGCTGTATTTTATGTCATTGAATGAAATTTGTGTAATGTAAAAGTTATTCTGAGAGAAATCCTTTGAGAGCAGTGTAACAGCTTTCATTCTAAGAAGGGTTTCAACTTGGAAATGTCTTCATGAAGTGATTGTGCCAGCAAAGGATAGGATTATAAGCACTTAGAGTAATAAAAACTGATAGTTTTATTGCTCTGCCTACTTATCTACATTAACTTATTAACTGTCTGCTAATGAGAAAACTTTGGGGGCAGGGAGCAGGTTGTGCAGAGAGAGATGGACTACTTTTCTTCATCTTCTCATAGTCTAAAACAAGAATTATTGAATAGCATAGAAGCATTTCGTTAGCTGTATGTTCATTGAACGATCAGAGTTCAGTCAGGAGAGTAGAGTCATCAATGAGTATATTATAGGAATTAGGCCTTACACAATTTTTAAAAATATTTATTTATTTATTTTGGCTGTGCCAGGTCTTAGTTGCGGCACGCGGGATCTTCACTGTGGCATGCGGACTCTTGGTTGTGGCATGCATGCGGGATCTATTTCCCTGACCAGGGATCGAACCTGGGCCCCCTGAATTGGGAGTGTGGAGTCTTACCCACTGGACCACCAGGGAAGTCCCCTTACACAATTTTTAAAGGATCTGGGGAAGTGCAGGTTCAGAAGGGGAGTTGGTAGATCAGAGGCATCTCCAGCCAGTCTGAGAAGCCACGTGTGTCTAGCTGCTGAAGTGGGAATGCAAGCAGGAAGCTCATGAGGAGATATGGGGGGCTCTTGCCTCTGTCTATACCCAAGCAGTGGGCTGGAGCAGTGCCTGATCAGTAGGAGCAGTAGTTGGGAAGCTGAATGTGGAGCTGTAATTTACTTTGCAGTGGGTGTTTGTCACTTCATTGGACTAGAATGACCTTCAGAGAATAGTGGCTGCTGCTGTACTTCTGCCTGCCAAACCATATGCAATTCCTATTTGGTCAGCTTTAAGCTGGAACCGTATAGGGAAGCATTGTCGTTCCCAGCTTAACCAGGTCGACACAGTATAACCCCCTGCAGTCCATCCCTTTTCAACTTGGCATCCATTCACACCCCTTATAACCATATTTAACTTCCAAATAAAGAGAGTAGAAAAACTATGCTTCCATCCACAAGGTGCAACTACCTTCCATACACCTGAAGACATGCTTACTCTCCAAAAAGATACGAAGTCTACTTTATTGATCATGAATGTTCATTTCTTTTCTAGCTGAGTCACTCTCCTCCTTTGAGATCCTGCAACTTCAATACTGAGATAAAAGGTTAACCACAATTTAAGCTGTATTATTCAGTATATTAAATCAGTAGTTCTCAACGGGAGGCAGTTTCTCCTCCTAGGAGACATTTGGCAATGTCTGGAGACATTTTTATTGTCACATCTAGTCGAAGGGGGGCAATGCTACTGGCATTTAGTGGGTAGAGGCCAGGGATTCTGCTGAACATCCTACAATGTGAGAGACAGGCCCCCAGAACAAAGAGGTATCTGGCCCCAAATGTCGATAGCACTGAAGCTGAGGTGTTAGACAGTGGGGAAGTGACAGAGATGGGTGTGTTAGTCGTCTAGGGCTGCCTTAACAGAACACCACAGACGGGGTGGCTTTAACAACAGGAATTTATTTTTTCACAGCTCTGGAGGCTAGAAATCTAGGGTCAAGGTGCCATCAGGGTTGGGTTCTGGTGAGATCTCTCTTCTCAGCTTGTGGATGACTGTCTTCACACTATGTCCTTACATGGCCTTTTCTCTGTGCGTGCACATGTACAGAGAAAGAGCAGGAGAGAGCAACCTCTGGTATCTCTTTGTCTTATAAGAACACCATTCCTATTAGATTAGGGCTCCACTTTTGTGACCTTATTTAACCTTAATTACCTCCCTAAAGGTCCTGTCTCCAAATACAGTCTCGTTGGGCCTTAGGACTTCAACGTATGAATTTGGGGAAGACACAATTCAGTCCATAATAATGAGGATAAAGAAATAATTGGGTAATTTATAGACAAATATATTTATTTCAAAATAAGGAAGAAATACCCATAGCTACTACACTCCTCATTTCTGTCACCAGACATGTAGTCATAGCTGATATTTATAATTTCCTTCTTCCACTACTCATTCCATAGTCCCTTTGCCCTTGGCAAGCATCTCAGCTGGTCATGGTTCCTAGTTTGGTGGGGTAACTCAAACTTTCATTCCTGAAGTGTCTGTGCCATTAGAAGCCCTGCCTGTTTTGGGTTGTGGTACTTTCCATTAAGTTTTATAATAATACATGGGAAAATTAAGGCATGTCCCAGGAGAGCTACATTCCAGATGTACTCCTCTTTATCATCCCTGAGCCCTCTATGTGGTAGCAACTCAGTTTCTCCTTGAGAGTCAGAATCAGTTACCCCACTCAGTACAGTAATCCCCACTGCCTATTGATCACTGGCAGGGGGAACCCAAAGTGGCCAAGTATGGCAGTATCAATTCCTAACTTAATGCAACCATTGCTTATTCTCTAATGGAAGCCTTTTTCCCTTGGGAACTAAGACCTCTAGACCATCAGAGCCAAAAGTTGTAGGGATAGGAAGCAAAAAATTTTACTGTAATAGTAAGGAGCTACTCCCATTTTCTACCTCTTGATTTCCAGACCTGGCTATGGGAGAAACAACACCATATATTAGTCACTGGTTTAGAGCATGTAGAGAATCCTGGAAGACCTTGCCCCAGGCCTGTAGGTGTTGCCAGCCAGCTAGTGCTGTTATTCAATCTTCAAAAGCCCATTCTACTTTTTGTCACCCAGCAGCTTCAGGATTGTGGGGAAAATGATAAAATCAGTGCATTACACAAGCATGAGCCTATTGTTATACTTCATTTCCTGTAAAATAAGCTCACTGATCAGAAGTAATTCTTCTAAGTAAAATACCATAACAGTGAATAAGGCATCCTATAAGTTCACAGATGGTGGTTTCCATAGAAGCATTGTGGGCAGGGAAGACAAATTTATATCCAGAGCAAGTGTCTATTCCAGTGAGCACTGAGTGCTGCCTTTGGTTTCTGATTGAAGTGGTCCAGGGACCATATCAGTGGCTCTGTTGATTCCGCTGTTGGCAGATTGAACATTCAGCAGTGGTTGTAAACAGATCAGCTTTGGTGAGTAAGTCCATGTTGCTGAACCCTTGCATTACCTCCTTGCTGCCATAACCATTTAGTTCATGAAACCATTGGGTGAGGACAGGGGTACCTGGGGAAAGAGGCTAGCTAACGTCCACAGAGCAGGTCATCTTGTCTACTGATTATTAAAATCTTCCTCTTCCATGATCACTGTTTAGTGAACATTCATATAGTACTCAAATATCTTTTTTATCTGAGCCTGTTTGGAGAGGTCCATTCACATACCTTTTCTCCAGAGCTCCCTTTTCTGACCATCCAGCAAACCATTAGTCATTGCACATGAAGCAGTGTAAATCCATACTTCTAGCCATCTCTCCTTCTAGGTAAGATAAATAACCGAGTATAACGTTCAGTGTTCTGCCCCCTGGGAAGATTTCCCTTCACTGCAGTCCTTCAGGGCCACTCCCGAGTGGGGCTCTGGTGCTGTAGCTGTTCATTTTCAAGTGACGCCAGAATGTTGTGCAGAACCATTTGTAAACCAGGCCTGTATTTTTTTCTTCCTTGGTCAGCTGATGACAGAGAACTTTCCATGGGGCCATGGGGGCAGGCTGAGAGGGAGGAGATGATTTAGCAGTAGAGGTCATGGGAATTTGAGCCACTTGCCTGCACAATTTATGTGTGCCTACAGGACCTATACAACCCTTATCTTGTATATTCCACTTCCTCTTGATGACGGAGTGCTGTGTACACACCCAATTTTGCAGCTTGGTGAGTCAGACAATACCTAGTTCATAATGGGTAGTTCACATGGTAACTTGGTGACCTGTGGTCGAGTGCTGAGCCAAAGGCAGAAGCACTTTCTCAAAAGGAGGCTAATTACCTGCAGAGGATGGTATAACTTTCCTCCAAAATCCTACGGTTCTGTACTGATTCCACCTCTAGGGGCCTACCACGGTCTCCGTAAAACATCACTATCAACCACACACTGCAGTTACCATCAGAGCTGCTGGATCATGTGGCCCAAGTGGCAGAGCAACCAGAGTCTCCATTCAAAAAAGGATTAAAAAGCAGAATGGTTGGCAGCGGTGGGAAGTGCAGGCCCGGTGTGGAGGAGCAACAGTGTGAAAAAAACATTTGAAGTGAAGGAGGAGTAAATCCTGTAAAGCTGATGTCTCCAGTGACTTTAGAAAAGAAATAGAAAATCATCATAAGCTTTCTCTGCCTGAAGATTTCTTTTTTATATATATAAATTTATTTATTTTATTTATTTATTTTTGGCTGTGTTGGGTCTTTGTTGCTGTGCGCGGGCTTTCTGTAGTTGAGGTGAGCGGGGGCTACTCTTCATTGTGGTGCGTGGGCTTCTCATTGCAGTGGCTTCTCTTGTCGTGGAGCACGGGCTCTAGGTGCGCAGGCTTCAGTAGTTGTGGCATGTGGGTTCAGTAGTTGTGGCTCGTGGACTCTAGAGTGCAGGCTCAGTAGTTGTGGCGCACGGGCTTAGTTGCTCTGCGGCATGTGGGATCTTCCCAGACCAGGGACCGAACCCGTGTACCCTGCATTGGCAGGTGGATTCTTAACCACGGCGCCACCAGGGAAGCCCTGCCTGAAGATTTCTATCACTTCTGGAATTTCTGTGAAGAACTTGATCCTGAGAAGTCAGCGGATGCACTTTTCTGCAAGCCTTGGCCTTCGATTAATGGGTCTTTACGAAGTATAAAGTGAACAAAAAATCAGCAAGCCCAATATTAACCTTCACTGGAGATTTTACTATGACCCTCCTGAGTTCCAGACTGTTATTACTGGAGATAATAAAATTCAGTTCCATGTGGGGTATTTCAGGGAGTCTCCTGATGAACCTCCTGTATATGTTGGTACAGATGGAGCAAAGAAAAATTGTATAATTGATCAAAATGGAGATAATGTGTTTGCCGCAGTCAAATTTGTTTTGATGAAAAACTTAAGTAACATAAAAAGAAAACTAGTCTCTTGAAAAACATAGATGAAAACTGCACAGAAGCAGCCAGAGCACTGGGTTACTCATTGGAACAGAGAATCATGAAGATGAAACATAGAGATAAGAAAGTCAAGACAAAGACTTTTCATGATGCAGGCTTAGTTGTCCCAGTAGATGAAAATGATGCTGAGTACGGAGAGCTCCCTGAAACAGATGCCAACTTCAAGGGAATTTGCAAGACAATTTTTGAAGCACAAAGTGATGAGAGACTAAAAGCTTTTGCTCTCATTCAGCGATGACTTCTGTGCAGTTTGCTAGTGATGAATGTGATTATGGGATGGGGCTTAAGTGGGAATGGACTTCCTTGTTATGGTTCAGACTATTGTCATAAAGTTACCTGCCAGCTTTTACCTCTTACCTGTACTCTGTTGAAGAGAAGTCTCTTTGCAGAAATTATTGAAGATTATCTGGTAAACAGGAGTAAAGAAAACACAGACCAACTTGCAGCATGAATGAGAATTGGCTTTCTTTGGTGTATAATACTTTAAAGCATTAATATTAAACCTGTGATTTTTTTTTAAGGAGTACATAAAATAAACTGATGGAAACGTTTACTAAAAACTTTTATAAAGCTAAAAAATAAAAAAGATTAAAAGTCTGCTTCTGCCCCTGCCCTCATCTAAGGAACATTTTCACTAGAGTACGGCATCAAGTGATGCAGGATATGCAGGGGCCTATGGGATACCAGTGGATATGTATTTCACCCAAATTTGCTATAGTTGTTGCTTTTATTTTGACATTTTCTTTTAGTATAGTTAAATAATATAATTTAAAATTTAAAATATAATTTTAATATATATTTTAAATTATAAAATATAATTTAAAATTTTGAGGGACTTCCCTGGTGGCACAGTGGATAAGAATCCGCCTGCCAATGCAGGGGACATGGGTTCGATCTCTGGTCCAGGAAGATCCCACACACCGCGGAGCAACTAAGCCCATGCACCACAGCTACTAAGCCTGCACTCTAGAGCCCACGAACCACAACTACTGAGCCCATGAGCCACAACTACTGAAGCCTGCACACCTAGAGCCTGTGCTCCACAACAAGAGAAGCCACCGCAGTGAGAAGCCCATGCACCGCAACAAAGAGTAGCACTCGCTTGCCGCAACTAGAGAAAGCCCGCGTGCAGCAACGAAGACCCAACGCAGCCAAAAATCAGGTAAAATTAAATCTTTAAAAAAATAAAAAATAAATTAAAAAAATAAATAAATGGAATTGTTTTAAAAAAATGAAAAAATAAAAGTTTGAGTCAACTTATCAAGTTGAATATTTATGCTTTTATGACAGGTTAAAAGAAAATGAATTTTTAAAATAAACTTTTGGGGAGAGGATTTGCAAACTAAAGATTTATAGATTGCATATGGGGAAAAAGTCTTTCACTTATGAAATAGCAACAATAATGCATAGTTTATTTTTTTAAAGAAATTTATGTTTGAACAAATTATTCAATGTAAATTCAATATTTCAATTTTGGGTGTGAAATAAATGTGTTATTGAATTTAATAATTGTTTCGTGTATAGCATAAACTGATTTCAGAGACGTATGACAGTTTTTAATAAATTTTTTCTTTAGAATTGTTCCTTGAGCTTTTTTTTTTTGGCTGTGTTGGGTCTTCATTTCTGTGTGAGGGCTTTCTCTAGTTGTGGCAAGCGGGGGCCACTCTTCATCGCGGTGCTTGGGCCTCTCACTATCACGGCCTCTCTTGTTGCAGAGCACAGGCTCCAGACGCGCAGGCTCAGTATTTGTGGCTCATGGGCCTAGTCGCTCCGCGGCATGTGGGATCCTCCCAGACCAGGGCTCGAACCCGTGTCCCCCGCACTAGCAGGCAGATTCCCAACCACTGCGCCACCAGTGAAGCCTGTTCCTTGAGCTTTTAAGAGAGAACTTCTAGGTTATTGCATTCTGGTACCATTCTATAAATTCTCTTATCTTTACATTTATAAAGCTCCTCTTCACTTTACGTTTATAAAGCTCCTCTTCAACAAAGAGTTGCTGAACTTTAAGTAGTAACTAGAAGATTTATATCACAAAGAATTTTTTTGTACTTCTGGTATATAACTCTAGATGAACAGGAAAGATACCAACCTACTTCTGTTTTTGTTGACATGGTCCTTTGACTTCAAGCATCTTAAAACTTTCATGGTTTAGTCTAGCTAATTTGAATTCACTATAAACAAGTTTCATCTGATTTTTGTCATCAGTGTGACTTGTATAACTCATGAAAAGATGCTTATCTTGGTAGCTAAGCAAAAATAGCATGCACGCGGAGATAAAATAAGGCTGAATCAGTAAGGGCTACAAAGAAAGAAAGAACGAACGTTGAGGCAGGTGAGAGCTCCAAGGCTTCAGAAATAGGTCCTCGGGGAAGGAGATCTAGGAACAAGAAATTACCTGAAGCAAGAAGGTGTTAGTTGTCTCCTCTGTAAGAAATAAAGCGATAGAAATTAGAGTGTGGTGGTGAATTAGGGTTAAATGAAATCATTTAGGAAATAGAGTTGCAAATTGGGCAACCCTGGCAGAGTAAACCTAAAAATATGTAGATAACCACAAAATAAAATTTATGAGAAAACACAGCCTAAGATTAGCAGTCTCATAGTCACTAAAGCAAACCTTGACTGTAGTGTGCGTTCTCAGTAAATGTGGGTTGAACGAATGAGTTTTTGAAAGTAGCTTCAGTTTGCAAAGTAGATACTGATCAGGAAGCAGAAATTGGTTGGTGGGTAGGTTACAGTGGGAATTGTGCAAGGTTATTGAGTAATAAGATCAATTACTCCTACCTAAGACAGGAGAAGCTATCTGAAATACAAAGGAAGCCAAATTGGTTGGGGCCACCTAAACGAAGTTTACTACTTCATGCAACAAGTAGTTAAGTTCCGTGCTAGGTGTTAGTAAAATACGGGTGTATGTGTGTGTGGCTTGTTAGGTATCCTCACTAGGTCAACCACTGTATCTCTAGATTAAAGTACAAAATTTAAGGTACATCCTCTTGTGTGCCACTGCCCTAAGTTCCTACCTGCCACCTAAATGCTGAAGAACTTATTTTGCTGATACTTGTTTTAATTTCCTCTTTTAAAAGGAATAAAAAGGAAGAAGTCCATATCTGTGCCCTTATTGTCTTTTCTATCATCTATCCGCCCTCTCCCTCTCCCCCTCCTCCACCTAATCTTTCTACTTCCCACAAGTCACTGTTCTTTTCTCTTGCACTAGGGAGAGGAGGTTCGATGTCAGTATGTTGTGACATGTGCAGGACTTCACTCAGACCGTATTTCCGAGTTGAGTGGCTGCAATCCCAATCCGCGAATTGTACCATTCCGGGGAGATTACCTGCTCTTGAAGCCAGAAAAACGCTATCTTGTAAAAGGGAATATTTATCCAGTAGGTAGTACTTCTGTCTTCTCAAGATGGTTGTGGGCAAAAAGGGGAATGAAACAAAAACTTTTCCCGGGGTGAGAAGTAAGATATTTTGAAGGGCTTTTGGTGCAGTCATTCCACCTGTTTCTCTTGTGGTTGAATCCCCAAATCTTTATTCCGATATCATAGTCATTCAATTATAATGACTTGCCCACAAGTACAGGAAAGCTTGAGTGCACCATGGGAAGGGCTGTGAAGAAAGAACCCAATTCTTCCACTTCTCTGGTGGAAGGAGTACTCATAACAGAACTTTTCCTTATAGCATGCCCAGATGCCAACCCTCTTTCTCAGATCACTGTCTGTAAGTGCAGAAAAGGGGATTTGGCCACTGTGTAGTTTCATGGTGTAGAGAAGACAGAGCCGTTTAAATGAAAAGCTCATTCTTCTGTCTGGAACTACTAGGTTGAACAACCAGTATTCAGCTATTTAATGTTTTTGACCTTGCCAAAACTTCCATTTCATCTGTTCCAAGTATTGCATTCCCACTTTACAAAAGGCTGTGCTATGAAGGTGTGTTTTTTTCCAGCAGCTCTGATTTTATTTGCCACCCACATATATCCCTACTTGGGGAGGGTGGAGGTGGGGAATAACCTAAAGTAGGACAGTTGTTTTTTTTCTTTACCCAGAAAGAGGAATAGATGGGACGATGTGCCTTATTGTCATAGCATCAGGTTTCCTGTGTGGCATTTCTAGGCAGAAGCATGTAAATAGAAAAGTATTATCTGAGTACAGATCAAAAGTAATGCAAATCAGATGCATGGGAAGGAAATGTTTTATATTACCAGTTGAATGTTTGCATGTGTAATAAAATGCAGTATGAAATGGGGCTAATAGTTCTTTGCTCTGTTAAATCCATAGGTCCCAGATAGCCGATTTCCTTTCCTAGGAGTTCACTTCACACCAAGGATGGACGGCAGTATTTGGCTAGGGCCGAATGCAGTTCTTGCCTTTAAACGAGAGGGTTACAGACCCTTTGACTTCAGTGCCAGAGATATTATGGATATAATTATCAAGAGGTAACTTTATTTCCTTAAAAAATTGATTTTGTGTGCTTATATTTTTAATATGGGATTTTTTTCTTTCTCGATATTCTGTTTATTGGATAAATCTTCATATTTGTGATTGGTATATTGGTTTTTTAATTAATCTAAATTAAGAGCTTTGTGGGATAAGCATAACATTTTAACTACTTCAAGAACACTCTGATGAGCCAGGGTGATGTTGTGGTTAAAAAGAACAAGACCAAGAGCCACGAGCGATCACACATCTGAGAATCCAGATCTTGTTTTGCTAACCTTCTAGCTGAGCTTGAAAAAAAACAGAAGTTTCTCTCAAAATCAGTAGATGGTTTACTTTGATAAGATCATTTCAGGCCAGTCACCATGATTTTGAAAACCTCTGGAGAAACTGCTGATAAGCAAGATTGTTTCTTTTTGTGGAAGACTAACAGTACTGCTGTGTTGACCTGGAATGCAGATTGTTTACTATTGTAAGAAATAACTCAGTGAAGTATTTTGTCCTTTTAGCACCGTTGCTCTCTAGAGGGTTTCACATCATCAAAATCACTAGAAAGCTTTTAAAGCTATACTTGAGTTTCACCCTGCACAGATTCTGAAACAGGTTTAGGATGGGGCTTCCTAGCACGTATGCTTGTAAAAATACAGATGTACATAAGCTCCCCAGAGTCTCACGTGAGAATCACTACTAGAGCGTCTCACCTCTGGCTGACTAAAGAAAAGTAGGGTAAATGTCCCACATGTTTAATGCCATGATTTAAAGATCTTTAATGCCTTTTAGGTGTGTTTTGAAAGCACATAACATTGCATTAGAAAGCCTTGATGTTGGCAGGCTTTATCCTAGTTTGAAACCAGCATTCCCTGGGAATTTGAGTTTGAATGGTGTTTACTTTTAGAGTTGGGAAGATATTCCTTTGATGAAGTTTCCTTCTTACGTAGGCCAAAAGCTGATTTTCTTTTAGTATGTGGTTTTTCTGACTTTGCATAGATTTCTGTGATGCCACACCCCACCCCCAAATCTAATAGCTGTAAAGGTGTTGTATGATAATAAAGAATTCCTTTCTCTCATAAAGATTTTATTTTCTTTGCTTTCAGTGGCTTGATTAAACTGGTGTTCCAGAATTTTTCCTATGGAGTTAATGAAATGTACAAAGCCTGTTTTCTCAGTGCAACAGTGAAGCACCTTCAAAAGTTTATCCCTGAAATTACTATCAGTGACATACTTAGGTAAGGAAAAGCCATAAGGGTTGTAAATACAGTCATGTCCTAGGTGAACTTGGGAGGTGGGTCTGACTTGGTGACTTGTAAGCACACTTTCAATCAGTGTGTCCACTGAATTTTTGTGTGCTCTCTCTTTCTCAACAAGTTGTTCATTCCCCTTGCAGTTTGGGCATTGCTGCATCATGGCCCTTAGTGCTTGAACTAGGTCCATTTATGATTATCTGGACTGCCTTACAGCATTAAGCTGAAATCTCCATTTCAGTTGTGTTATGATGCCACCTTCACTTTTGTGTCTAGCTATCACTCATGATAAACATCTCACCTGAAGTTTCTTTAATCTCCCTGGCCACTTACTCTTGTGATTCCAAAGCTTTCTGACTTTTAATTCTGTATAAGATCATTGATCACCATGTTACCTAATTAGGTAATAAGCATATTAAAACATTATTCTTTGATTGATTCTTAAAAGCTTTTAGAAACATACTCATACCTGGCATCTTACCTTGCTTCCTCTGTACTTATTTTGTTCTTTCTTGGATCCTACTTCCCTCAAGGACTATTTGTAGAACAGAAGTGGGAAATAGTATGGTAGCAATCAGTCTGAGTGCTTGCTGTGGGCGTGTGGGGCAAAGGAAGGATTCCTTAAAAAAAATGTTTTTTTCTTAAAGATAAAAGGCTTTCTGGACTTGATCTATACCTTGTCCTAAATGCCACACAAGCCTATTTTCTTTTTGGTGATATTTTTAGGGTGCTCATCTTTTCCCCTGAACCAGCCATTTGTTAGGCCTAATCAGCAGTGGTCTTTGAGATCCTCTCCTCCCTGAATCCATCCCGCAATGGATCTCTAGAGCACTAAGTGTCTGTCTCCTCAGTAACAGCTGCTGAACTTGCCTGGTGTAATATATCAGCAGCTCGCCTCTGTATCTGGGAAGAGAGCAATAATCACGTCAGCTGTCTCCCTCAGGGGAGCCTCCTGGTCTAAATCTGATTCTCATGTATCATTCTCAGACCAGCCTCTTTGAATCCTTAGAAGAACTATTAAAACCCAGCTAATGTTTTTAACTCTTATCTCTCTCAGCACTCTACTCACCTTCTGAAATAGAAGGGATAAAAATATCTAGGCTTTATGTTCTTTCACTCACCTATAAATGAAGGCTTTTATGTTTTCTGTGGTCTGCTTTAGCAGACTTGTTACGTTTTATATCTGAAAATAGATTGGTCAAATCTAGTGTCTTTTACTGCTGTTAATATTCCTTGGAAAACACAATAGGTGGGCATAGTGAATTCTGTGTGTAAATAGTTGCAGTGAATTCACTATGCAGATTTGATTACCACTCTTTTGTAGAAGCCTGAGGAAAACTCTTTAGACCAGTGGATTTCACGTGGTAGAACTGAACCTTGGGGCTTGTGGGTTTTGGTGAATACCCTTGTCTCTGGGTGGAAAGGTGTGAATTTCAGTTACCAGTTTCATTACCAGGTAGTAGAAAAGGGCACACAACACTGTAGGCAGGTGCATTTGGGGACAAATTCAACCCAGTCACAGATGAGTTTCTCTCTGAAGATAGAGAAGCTGAACATATTCAGCAATTCCATTTGATTCCTGTAGCTCTTAAATGCAGGAAATTATCAGTAACAAAAAGAAAATTGTAGAAGATATGTTTGATACCATTTATATGTTTATACTGTGTATGTATATGGATTGCACATGTAATGTGAAAATAAAAACAAACATGAGAGTGATAAACACCTAACTGAGGAGAGTGTTTATCTCCGGGGAGACAAGAGAATGGGATGCAGAGAGTTTGACAGGGGGCTTCTATCATATCTATAATGCTTATTTCTTAAGCTGTTTGGTAAAAAAAATATTGGTGTTCATTATGTTATTCTCTGTACCTTGTTATATGCCTAGAATCTTAAATAATAATAATAATACAAAAAAATAAGGTCAATAGACTTCCCACATTTTGAAGCCTAAGTCCTGATTGCAACCAGTATAACACCATAAATGCCCTATCATTAATATTGGGGAAGAAGCATATTAGGTAGTTCTGGATAGTAAAAAGGAACCAAAGCAACACTTTTAGTGGAATGTTTAGCTCAAGACGGTGTCCTTTAGTTGCAGTAGCTACCAAAAGGGATCCAGTTGGACTTCTCATTGCCCAGCCAGAGTATCTTGGGCAATAACTTACCAGTGAACATTAGATTGGAATGTAAAGTTATAACCTGTCAAATGTATGCATTAGGTATACAGACTTCTCATTATTAAATGATGATCTTTACGGTTCCTAATTTTAGCTCTAAAGTCCTTTAATTTGTTCTGTGATTAATTTTGACATGGCAATCTAACAGTAGTTTGTATCTGTTAGCATTGTAAGGATGTAAAATATGATGACATATTTGCCAAGATCCCCTCTTTTTCCCACACTTCATTTTGAAAATATCTTCTTGGGGGAATTCTGTAGTAAATTTTCAGGCAAGATGTTTTCATTGCACGTGATAGCTAAAGACCACACTACTGTGAAATGCAAGGGTAAAAGCCAAAAATCCTGCAATAAAGGTGATCTAGACCCTTTTGCAAAAAAGGGTTTCTCATTCTTGGTACTGTTGACATTTGGGGCCAAATAATCCTTTATTGTGGGGGACTGTCCAGTTCACTGTAGAATGTTTAGCAGCATCCCTGGACTCTACCCACTAGATGCCAGCAGTACTCCCCTAGTATGACAACCAAAAATGTCTCCAGACGTTGCCAAATATCCTCTAGGGGGCAAAGTCTCCCCTGTTTGAGAGCTACTAGTCTAGAGAATTTGGTAACTCTCACACTGCAAAATACTAATGAGAGAGTCTGGAGAAAATACAATAAAAATCCCTTGAAATGCTTACAGCTGAGAGTGCAAGAAAATAAGGGCATCCCAGAAATGAAAACAGAGAGGAAATTGAATACCCAAGAACTAAGAGGAATTAGTGCTGATGCTGACTTGGAAAGGTAGGGAGGATTTTCTGATTTTGATGTAAATATAACTGAGTTTTGTTTTTAATTGATCTGTGATTTACAGACAATAAAATATGCAGATCTTGAGTGCTCAATGAAGTTTGGAAATTGTATAAATTCATGTATCCACCACACAAATCAGGATATAAAACATTAGGGACCTTATATTTTAATTGCTACTCAAGTGCTGGAAAGGAAGCCTTGGGTCTGTAAAAGGTAAAGGGTTGGAACTGAGATCCCTTTGTAAAACCAGGGACTCTGGAAGGGCTATACCCTCAGTGAAAAGGAAGTCTAGAAAAAAAATCTCCTAAAAATCTAGAACCCTGGGCCTTCCCTCACAAGTACTTGGAGTTTCAATTTGTACCACTAGTTTGATCTAGGAACTTTAAGCTGAGAAATGGATCTAGCTTAAAAAGTAGATCCATTCCTATTTGGATCCTGCTTCAGACTAACACTTCTGCCTCTCACTCTCTCACTTTAAACAGATTAGAGTGAGTGAAAATCAGGGTAATTTGACCACAGACTGAATATGGTTGATACTAAGCAGTTAGTAGTTTTGTATTATTATTAAGAATCCTTTTAAGAGAAATATACATTGAAGTGAAATGATACGCCATCTGGGGTTTGCTTTAAAATAATCCAGTGGAGAGAGGTAGACAGAGTGGGGATATAGATGAAACAAGATTGGCTGTGTGTTGATTATTACTGAAACTGGGTAATACATACATGGGAGTTCCTTATACTGTTCATTTTACTTTTGTACATGTTTAATATTTTCCATTAAAAAAAAAAAAGGTGTTCCTAGAATGGTTATACACCTGGAGTGTCTGACAGAAGCAAATATAAAACCTCTGTGGAGGGACATAATTTCAACCCAACGCCCCCTGCTGAATAGGAACTCACCAGCAAAAGTTCCAAAGCACTATAAGTGAGAGTAAGCAGATAGAATAAATACTAGAATTAGACTCTAACAACTTTGGATAATAGTAATATTAGAAGCCATAAAGTAAGTATGCTCCAATGAATTTTTTAAAAAAGGGAATGAAAAAAACTGAAAAAGAATAATAATTTAAAAAATACCCTAGGCAAATTTAGAAACCAAGTAATCAGAATTTCTAGAAATGAAAACTATAGTTCTTAAATTTTAAAACTCAAATGATTAAGTTAGACAGCTGGTTGGACCTCCCTTAAGAGAAAATTAGTAAATTGGAAGGTAAATCTGAAGAATTTAGAGAACAATGTTGTAAGCTAAAGATGCATCATGTGCAAATTAAGACATGGAGAAGATGAGAAGATTCCAGCCTCCATCTCATAGGAGTTCCAGAGAAGTTGAGAAGAGGCAATACTTTGAAGAAAAGTATTTGAGAATTTTCTGGAATGGACAAAAAGACATAAAATTCAAGATGCACAGTGAGTCCCATCTGAATTAAAAAACTAAATACAAGAATGTAAATAGATTATATAACTTCCAAATAGTAGAGGAAGAAAAAAGAATGTAGAAAACTCAGTAAGTCAAGAAAGGAGGTGGGAAAACTTCAGAAAAAGATCGGGTTAAATAGCATAAAATAATATAGTAGAAATCAAATATCAGAAATTATAATAAATGCAAATGTGTTAAGACAGAGATTATCAGGTTGGATTTTAAAAATCCACCTATGTGTTAGGCAAATGCTTATTCGAAGAAAGATGAGTCCTAGGTTCATTTTAGATAAAAGACACTTTAAGGTAAAAAATTATTGTTATAAATAAGGAGGGTCACTATAAATTTGTTGCATATGATAACAGAGCTAAGAAATACAGAGAACAAAAACTGACATAACTGGAAGCAGAAATCAAATCTATAATTGTGATGGGTGATTTTAAGACATGTCTGTTGATAGATGATAGCTCAAGCAGATAAAATATTATGTTTGAGGGGAATTCCCTGGTTGTCCAGTGGTTAGGACTCGGTTAACTGCTGGGGTCCAGGTTCAATCCATGGTCGGGAAGCTAAGATCCCCTCAAGGCACTCGGCATGGCCAAAAAAAAAAAAAAAATTAGATTTGAATAACACAATTAAAACACTTGATTTAGGGACTTCCCTGGCAGTCCAGTGGTTAAGACTCTGTGCTTCCAAGGAACTAACATCCCACGTGCCGTGCAGCATGGCCAAAAACTTAAAAGACCAACAAACAAAACCACTTAATTTAAGGGATGCATAGAACTCCCTCACCCCCGTTATAGAATACTCATGTTATTCAAGCCCTCACAGAACATTTACTAAGGCTCAAAATGATCTAAGCCCTAAACCAGTTTGTCAACAAAATTAAAAAACTGGGCATGGAAAAACCATGTTCTCTTGTTGCAATCCAGCTTGGTTGAATATTAATAACAAAAATACCCTCCTTCACATTTGGAAATTAAGATGGAATGGTTGACTTGCCCTATATCACCAGTCCCAATTTAAATATGCTCCTGTGAACTTCTGTTTTTAGATTAACAGTAGATCCCATGTGAGTTTTATAAAATACTAAATTGTCCTACTTGGAACTGTCCAGAGATGTCAGTTGTAGCCTGTCATAGCTGTTTTCTAGCCCACAGGATTATGCCTGCCACAGAATAATAAAGCAATAAATACAACACTTCTCAGAAGAATGAGTGCCGTTAGTTACATATTTACCTGCTGTTTCTAGACATATTTAAGGGTCTAGGCCTTGCATTTCTATTAAATTTAGCTGCAAATATGGCAAAATATGTGGCTACAAATAGCATTAAACAGTTAAATATAGCTAAATTCACAAATATTAAATTTGCTGAATCATTTGTTCTTTCAGTTATTAAAATAGAATTTAAGAGGATTGAGAGTTAAACAATTCAAATTTTCTATCCCTATTGAATACTTCCTATGTACACAAATCTAGACATGGGGGCAAAATAGGGCTATTGTATAAGATTCAGTTCCGGCCCTGAAGATGTTTATGGTTTATTTTACCTGAAATTTCAAAATTATAATATTCATCTCAAGCTGAGATATTCTGAGGGGGAATGCCTATATGTAATCATGCAAAGAAAAACCCTGAAATTTCATTAAGTGCTGAATAGGGAACATGAAGAATTTGGTAATTTAAACATGCCATGTTAAATAGTTACTTTAGTTTGAACTAAAGTGAGTTTCTTAGAAAAAGTTAATCTTGTATATTTTTTTTACAGTTTGGATTATAGGTTTTGAATACTTGGGCAGGACTGTAGGGGATGTCGAGAACATAGTTGGTGTTTGTAAGAGGAATAAATAAATATAGACACATTTTTAACTGTAGTTAATCAGTACTAACTTCTATTTGCTTAGAAAGAGTAAGGAGAATATACTAACTAAACCTTCATGGAGAGGAAAGTTTTTATTTTGAACACTCAACATCAGTAGGTAGTCATGCCACTGTGTGTCCCCTGCATGTTGGCTTTCTGTGAGATAAAAGGAGAAGGACAAGAAAACTCATAGAGATGCTCACAACAGCAATAGTAGCATTATCCAAGAAAAGAGAGGTGAAATGCTGTTTTGATTGGTTGAGAGAAGCTACAAACACAGAATGTACAAAATAGACCATACACTGGCTAATAGGCTGTTATGTATCCTTACCCTAAGAAATTTCAGCTTCAGTCCCATTCTGTCTTTTTGTGCTGTAAGTGTTGTATCTGATTTTTTTTTTTTTTTTTTGTGGTACGTGGGCCTCTCACTGTTGTGGCCTCTCCCGTTGCGGACGGAGCACAGGCTCCGGACGCGCAGGCCCAGTGGCCATGGCTCACGGGACCAGCCGCTCCGCGGCATGTGGGATCTTCCCAGACCGGGGCACGAACCCGTGTCCCCTGCATCGGCAGGCGGACTCGCAACCACTGCGCCACCAGGGAAGCCCTTTGTATCTGATTCTTACTTGGAAATCCTTACAGCTCAAAAATCTCCTGTCTAGATTCCCTGCAGCCTTCTATATTACAGATTACTTTTATTACAGAACCTTTCACCCCTGTTGTTGTAATTCTTATTTATCTCTCTACAGATGAACTGTATAGCTATGTAACTTCAGGCAAGTTACTTAATCTATCTTCTTTGCTGTTAAATATAAACTATAAACATATCAGCCTCTTAGAGTTGTTGTGAGGATTAAATGAGAGAATTCCTAGCATGGAGTAAGCACTTGGTAAAAAAATAGCTGTTATTATCATGATCTCTCCTCAGCCAGGCTGAGGTCTTAGAGGGCAGTGCTCTTGTATTGTTCTTTGTATCTTCCTCAAGTGCTTATCTGCATCTGCCCAGAATCAATAAAAAGTGTTTAATATTGTTGCCTGATTTCTAGAGTCTTGTTGGTGTGTATAAGGCAGCTGTTTGCAAACTGGGTTTTCTTAAGCAGTTTCAGTGGAGGTGCTTATGGACTCCAAAATTATTTTATCCAGATTTTATCTGTAAACTTTATTTTTTTTATTTTTTATTTTTTTTTATTTTTATTTTTTGGTGCGCGGGCCTCTCCCGTTGCGGAGCACAGGCTCCGGACGCGCAGGCTCAGCGGCCATGGCTCACGGGCCCAGCCGCTCCGTGGCAGGTGGGATCTTCCCGGACCAGGGCACGAACCCGTATCCCCTGCATCGGCAGGCGGACTCTCAACGACTGTGCCACCAGGGAAGCCCCTGTAAACTTTATTTTTAAAACTAAAAAAAAAAAAAAAAAAAAAATCTAATTTGTAAACTCAAATGTTGTAAAACAGAACTTTTAATGTTAAAGGCTCTTAACTGTATTAACATGCTGTTAATTCATTTTTGTGCTTTTCCTTTAATTAAGAGAGTGTGTCATTTCTCTTTAATTAATTGAAGGTTATCCTGATATTAAATGCTAAACCGTTAAAAATCAAAACAAACTACAAAGCCAGAATTTGCTGCCATTTGCAAATATTTTTTCCATAACTTTTAATAGTGTACAACCAAAACAAAACATAAAAATACTTAGAATTCTGTAGCGCATGTAGGAATGTAGCTGACACACATAATTCTTGCTTTCTTTACTTTGTATTATCTTGCTTTCTATTCTAGTGATTGATTGTATAATAAATTCATTTTGTAAATTTAAATAAAAATACATCTATTCTAATTAAATATGGATTTATCTGCTACTTTTGGAAAGAACGCATTTGTGTATTTTAGGGTAAGGATATATGCTTGAGAGGCTACAACTGGCAGCCTTTGGCTAAACACAAACCTATCGGGTTTTCACATAATTGTGCATTTAGAAGAATAAAGACTTTATTGCTTTAAGAATACTTTGAAACCACTGACACGTATGTAAAATGTCCTGTCGCTTCTAGTCAGATGACTACCACTCTTGCTTTTGCAGAGGTCCAGCTGGAGTAAGAGCCCAAGCCCTGGATAGAGACGGAAATCTCGTAGAAGATTTTGTATTTGATGGAGGAGTTGGGGATATCGGAAATCGCATTCTTCATGTGAGAAATGCACCTTCCCCTGCTGCCACTTCTTCCCTTGCAATTTCTGGAATGATTGCAGATGAAGTACAACAGAGATTTAAATTGTAGATAATGAAAGGAGCTAGGTATGCATTTTAATCTCCACATTCAGCAACAAGAATGTACTAACTACATTCTTTAAGTTTCATTTAAGAAAAATGGTTTAAAATGTCATTTTAGATAACCACTGAATATTTTAAATTATGTAATGTGGAAATAATGATTTTTTAAAGTCCATGCTCTTTAAAAAGGTACAGTTGTATCTGTCCTGAATTCTTGACTTTGTTAATGACCTGTCCTCACCAACCATGATCTAGAGATTTGGCTTTTTTTGGAATTTCTGGGAACTATAGCATGAAAAAGTGATTATTCCCCTAACTTTTTGGCTTTATAATATCTAAGCTTTTTTGTCTTTCCTAGACAAGAAAATATATTGTAGGTTGCAAACCTTTTAATTTTGAAGAGTCATAGAAAAGCTCACATCATTTAGAGCAACAGTATTTGTATTTGGGAATTTAAAATTGTTGATTCAAATACATGAAATTTCACATTTTGAAGTAGTTTGAATAAGATTCTGTCTTATCTACATTTGTAAGAAATAACTTTGCAAAAGAAACTCAAAGCATTTATTATTCCCAGTTTCTTTATAATTCACTTGGTCTGGTGTCATCCCTAAATCTAAACAGCAGTCCACAATGAGTATTTTGCTTACTCTTCAGTCTTCTGTGGTTGAGAAACTAAAAGAACTTAGAATCCTGACACTGAGATACAGAACTTTGTAATTTAAAATAGTATTTATCTCTTATATCTCTGTTCTTCAGTCATACCAAGGTTCTCAGATGTTGGCCAAGATCACTAATGATTCATGCCTACTTGACTTTTCCAGAATCCTATAAACCTTTATGAGGATGTTTCTTCATTTTGGGGAAATACCTAATTTTGAGGCATTCACTTTTGTACACCGCAAAAGTGCCTTACAATCATGTGTATTTCATGAGTATTTTAAATTGTTGCCCAGTGCCATACCGTATACTATGTACTATATATATACGTGTGTGTGTGGTATCTGTTGAAATGATTCTTGCAATTCAGAATGTTGGAAAATAGAAATATAAATGAAAATATGGTATAATATGGGGAAACTTATTGCAGAACCACCATTTAGGTGAGAAATTTTCATCCATTCCCTCACATATGCTCTCTCTGGAATAATCTTCCAGTCTTCATTTTTTCTTTCCTCTCGTCTCTCCAAAACTGTGTGATGGATGAGTCAGAAAGATGAGCATTTTGGTTGATAGCAAAACTTACCAGTTTTCTTCCTTTTCACTTCAAGCCAACGATTACATTGATTGAGCTACCTCATCAGTTAATTTGAAAGGCTGCATACACATCATCAGCTCATGTTACAGAATAGCACATCTCAGGTGAATAGATCAGACAGTTCTTCAGCACTTGGGATGAGAATACTGAAAGCAGTTGGAAAGTATTCACAGAGGAAGCAAGCCCTAATGGTTCTTCATAACAACTGATTCTTCCAAGAAATGTGATGCACAGGGTATTTTCTGTTTCATTGCAAGACTATTAAGAGATGGAAAATATTACAATTCTCTATTTCATTAACAGTAAGATTCCATATACACTAAGCTGTGAAAGACTGAAGTTATAAAAATAACTACCCTAATTAAAGCAACCCCCATTCCATTTGGGTCTTTACTATACCCCAAAAAATACAAGTGAAAAAATGATTGAAAGCGTTTTGAATGTAGATTATTCTATTTGTAAAACGTTTTTATTTATGTCAATAGAGTTTTGTTGTGGAATAATGCTATAATATTTAAAAGTTTTGTGTATTTCTAAGAGAGAAGAATTGTATATTAATATTAAAAATATTTTAATGAACTTTGGTGTTGTGAAAATAATTTTTAGTTTCATAAAAACTCTGATTCAGTACTTACCTGGGAGGGGATATACCATGATCATGAAGGTGGTTTTCCCAGGGTGCAGCTCATGCATTGCACTCTGGATGTGCTGACCCCTGCAATTTCCCCAAATGTGGGAAACTTGGCTGCATGATTTGTGGTATTGGGGAACTGTGTTTGAGCTTTCCCCTGTTTTTTTCTGTTTTAACAATAGAGATCCTTCAAGACCGTTTTCTAGGGGTCCAGTGGTTTGTGTTTATCTAATACTGAAGAGAACCTTTAGTGTGTCATCCATTTAATGTGGGTACTGGATGGTGGTTAATATGACACAGGGATATGGAGAAATAAGGATTTTTTTAAAACTCTGATTCATATAAATTTTGAGCTATCAATAGGCTTTAAATAGCAGCCAATCAAAAAAAAAGCTTGTATTTGTGTATAGTGTAAAAATGAGGTAGAGTAGTTTATATTTTGGTTAAAAAGTGGAACACTAGGGACTTCCCTGGTGGCGCAGTGGTTAAGAATCTGCCTGCCATTGCAGGGGACACAGGTTCGATCCCTGATCCAGGAAGATCCCACATGCCGCGGAGCAACTAAGCCCGTGAGCTGAAACCACTGAAGCCCACGCACCTGGAGCCCGTGCTCCGCAACAAGAGAAGCCACCGCAATGAGAAGCATGAGCACCGCAACGAAATGTGACCCCCACTCGCTGCATCTAGAGAAAGCCTGTGTGCAGCAATGAAGACCCAACACAGCCAAAAGAAAAAAAAAGTGGAGCACTTTCCTACTTAAAAAAAATGGCTCTCCATTTGGTAGTGGTAGCAATATCTGGCTGACTTCAGTGTCATCCTCATACCCAGAGTACCAGGGAACATTATTTCTGTTCCATAGTAGAATGTATATAACATACCAATACACAGTGCTTTTTCCATGGGGAGGAGGGCAATAAGTAAATCTTTTGGAATTTCATACAAAATTATTGTTCCTCTTGGGAAGACATTTTTGGTATGCTACCTCTTACACGGGGTTGGGGTTCTGGGCATGAGCCTCCCATATGGGTTATAGGGCAAATCATCTATCTGAGTGCCTGCTCCAATTTCTTTCCAGCAGGTGGACTGTTAAGAGGACCAGAGTTAGCTACAGCAACGGACCGTGAAAGTGAGTGACAACAACATTTATTGTTTCCTGTGGCATTGCTTTGGTTTGCTACTGACTGGCAGCACTTGTAGCTTTAAATAAATGGAGGAAGTAGGAGAGAGTAAATGGGAGAAAAGTTAAGTCCTTCTTGAAAATGTTTTTCAGTGAGAATTTTTTTTTTTTTTTTTTTGCGGTACGCGGGCCTCTCACTGTTGTGGCCTCTCCCGTTGCGGAGCACAGGCTCCGGACGTGCAGGCTCAGCGGCCATGGCTCACATGCCTAGCCGCTCCGCGGCATGTGGGATCTTCCCGGACCAGGGCACGAACCCGTGTCCCCTGCATCGGCAGGCGGACTCTCAACCACTGCGCCACCAAGGAAGCCCTGAGAGAATATTAGTGGTAAAATTTTTACTGCCTTTTAAATTTTGAGATGTGCTTGGGTCATTCAACTTATCTCCTTAAAGCCATTCTAAATTCTAAAAAGACAAGTAAAATTACAGTGAGGTATAACCTCACACTGGTCAGAATGGCCATCACCAAAAAGTCTACAAATAACAAATGCAGGAGAGGGTGTGGAGAAATAGGAACCCTCCTACACTGTTGGTGGGAATGTAAATTGGTGCAGCCACTATGGAGAACAGTATGGAGGTTCCTTAAAAAACTAAAAATAGAGCTACTATATGATCCAGCAACCCTACTCCTGGGCATATATCCAGAGAAAACCATAATTCGAAAAGATACATGCACCCCAATGTTCAATGCAGCACTATTTACAATAGCCAAGAGATGGAAGCAACCTAAATGTCCACCAACAGAAAAATGGATAAAGAAGATGTCGTATATATACACAATGGAATGTTAGCCATAAAAAAGAATGAAATAATGCCATTTGCAGCAACATGGATGGACCTAGAGATTATCACACTAAGTGAAGTAAGCCAAACAGAGAAAGACAAATATCATATGATACCGCTTATATGTGGAATCTAAAAGAAAAACAAAAAAGACACAAATGAACTTACTTCCAAAACAGAAAGAGGCAGAGACAGAAAACAAACTTATGGTTACTAAAGGGGAAAGGGTGTGGGGGGAGGGATAAATTGGAAGACTGGGATTAACATATACACATTACTATGTATAAAATAGATAACCTACAAGGACCTACTGTATAGCACAGGGAACTGTACTCAATATTATGTAATAATGTATAAGGGAAAATAATCTTAAAAAGAATATATATATGTGTGTGTGTGTGTTTGTGTGTGTGTATAACTGAATCGCCGTGCTGGACAACTGAAACTTATACGACATTGTAAATGAACTATACTTCAATAAAAAATTTTAAAAATAAATTCTAAAGACAAGTAAAATTACTATCAAATTCTTAGTATGATAGCATGTTAATTTTAACTCAAATTTATGATTGAGTTTTTGTTATATACCCATAGGCCCTCTCTCTCATGGTATCAGTGTGTTTAATACTTCTATTTTTCAACACTTGAAGCATGTGTTTCTAATGAGGTTGGAGTTTTTCATTTAAAAAAACAGCTTTTAATTAATGTTTTGAATAAGTACAACATTCATATAGTTGAAAATTCAAAAGTCATAAAAAAGTACACAGTGGCAAGTCTCCCTCTCTCCTCTAGCCCCCCAGTTCTTATCCCTGAGGCAACAAAACTTATCAATACCTTGTGCAGCCTTGCAGAAATATTTATATATAATAAAATACTGTCTCCATTTTTTTTTACACAAGTGGTAGCATACTCTGCATACTGTATTATACATCCTGCTCTTTTCGCTTTGTGGTGTATCTTGGAGAATGTTCAAGCGGCCTGAACACAGTGGCCTGGTTCTTTTTAAATGACTTTATAGGTTCCATTCTCTGGATTTATTATTTGTTGAACCAGTCCCTTATTCCTACTGATGATTATTTAAATTGTTTATTGCTAGGGTGTTTTTTTGTTGTTTTGCTGTAACAAACAATACCGTAATGAATAATACTGTGCGAAGTCATTTCACATATGAGCAAGTACACCTATAGGACATATTCTTAGAATTTATCGGGTCAAAGTGTATGTGCCTTTGCATCTTGGATGTTGTCAAGTTGCCCTTGATGGAGATTGAACCAATTTACCAATCTCACCAATAATCTATCAGAGTACTGGTTTCCCCATATTCTCACCAACATAGTATATAATCAAACTTTCTGATCTGTGCTATTCTAATAGGTGAAAAATGATAACAGTATTATTTAAATTTGCGATTTTTGTAATATGAGGTTGCGCATCTTCAATATGTTTGAGACATTTATATTTCCTTTTCATATCCTTTATCTTTTTTTTCTTATTAAGTTTTAGTCTTATTAATTTGCAGGAATTCCTTTAGATGTTAGGGAGATTAACTGTGTAGGAAATGAGTTGCGAATATTTTTTCCAGTTTGTTATTTGCCTTTTGGCTTAGCTTGTGGTGTTTTTCTTTGGTATACATTTTAAAAAATAGAATTTATCAATCTACCTTTTATATCATAGTAGAAAGGTCTTTGTACTCCAAAGTTATAAACAGATTATTTTATGGTTTTATTTTTTACATTTAAATATTTGACACATCTTGGCTTTAGCCTAGTGTAGAGTATACAGTATTGATCCAACATGTTTTTCTAGGTGGCCCATTTGTCTGGTTGGGAAACTTTTTACTGGTGTCACTCTTGGATTATCTTCCACATGCACGTGGATCACATTTCTGTTTGCCTAGCCCACAGATCACAACTCAGATGCCTATAGAGACTAGGCAGGTTACATAAAAGGGTGAAGAGTGCCAGCAGGGGAGTATAGCCAACTGGAAACGGGATGGCATATTTTTCTAAAGAGGCAGCCACTACCCCACTGCCTGCTGATTATTCCCTTGCAGGAAGCATCAGGGCCCAGTGTTGCCAGATCTTTGTCAAGAGAAGCTGAAAATCCAGATTTTTATATGAAATCTCTTAATTTTAAAATATTAACAACAGTTTAAAATTTTTAAATATAGCTTTGGTTAAACAAAATGTGTCTTCAGACCTGATTTGACCCAGAGAAGGCTTCTAACCTCCTTAGCCAAGAATGAAACTTCCCATTAACAACTTTACTCTCCTACAAGAAAATACAATCACAGTCCAGTAGTTTGACAGCCTAGCAGTTTATAGCTGGAGTTCAGGAAGAGAGAGAAAAGTAAAGACACTCTATATAAGCCAAGATCTTTGCCCTCACTGATGGAAAGATTGGAGAGATACAAGCATTTCCCTATCTTACCTTTATCCCAAGTATTGTACATGGGAATGTGGGTGTGGCCATTTATTATATATATATATATATATATATATATTTTTTTTATTTTTTTGTCCTTATACGAGCCTCGCACCGCTGTGGCCTCTCCCGTTGCGGAGCACAGGCTCCGGACGCGCAGGCCCAGCGGCCACGGCTCATGGGCCCAGCCGCTCCGCGGCACGCAGGATCCTCCCGGACTGGGGCACGAACCCGCGTCCCCTGCATTGGCAGGCGGACCCTCAACCACTGCGCCACCAGGGAAGCCCTAGAGATATTTTTTTAATTGAAGTATTTCTGATTTACAATATTAGTTTCAGGTGTACAACACAATGATTCAATATTTTTTATATATTATGCTCCACTTAAACTTATTACAAAACACTGGCTATATTTCCCCGTGCTGTACAATATATCCTGGTTGCTTATCTATTAGAAAAGATTCTTGATTCAGTGGATACTTGGATTAGAAAAATGGTTGAGTGGATACTAAATTTTCCAACTCTGCCATTATGATTTTGCCAAAATGACAAAATGGTGCTTGTTAT